TGAATAGCACTTTGATTATCACAAAGCAACTGAACTCCACCTTGTTGAACACCCAACTCCTTCACTAAACCAGTAAGCCATAAAGTTTCTTTTGCAGCTTCAGCCACTGCCATGTACTCAGCTTCAGTTGTAGATAGAGCCACAACAGATTGAACAGTAGACTTCCAACAAATAGGCCCTCCACCAAGAGTAAAGACATACCCTGTCGTAGATCTTCTATTATCCAAGTCACCTGTATAGTCTGAATCCACATATCCTACAACCAAAGGATTATCCCGCTGACTCCCAAAAACAATTCTATGTCCCACAGTACCCTTTAAGTACCGAAAGATCCACTTGACTGCTTCCCAATATTGCTTACCAGGTTTAGACATGTACTTACAAACTTGACTAACATCATGAGCTAAATCAGGACGAGTACATACCATCGCATACATCAAGCAACCAACAGCATTAGAATACGGAACCTTTTCCATATCTTCAGCTTCCTTATCTATCTTAGGGCACTGTTCTGATGAGAGCTTAAAGTGATTCGCCAATGGAGTGCTAACTGGTTTCGCGCTGCTCATCGCAAACCTTTCTAGCATTTTCTCAACATAACCCCGTTGAGATAGCCGCAGTTTCCTTGAGTCTCCGTCCCTACAAATTTCCATTCCAAGAATTTTCTTTGCAGCACCTAAATCTTTCATATCAAATTCCTGACTCAATAAAGTTTTCAAACCGATAACATCATCCATGTTCTTCGCAGCAATCAACATATCATCAACATACAGTAATAGAAAAATAAAAGAACCATCATCAAGGCTCTTAACATAGACACAACAATCATACTCACATCGGTTGTAGCCAATCTTGATCATATAGGAGTCAAACCGTTTATACCACTGTCTCGGAGACTGTTTCAACCCGTACAAAGATTTCTTCAATCTGCAAACTAAATGCTCATTTCCAGGTTGAGTGAAACCTTCAGGTTGCCGTATGTAGATCTGCTCCTCTAAATCACCATGCAAAAAAGCAGTTTTAACATCCATCCACTCTAAATACAAATCCCAACTAGCCACCAATGCAAGTACTGCTCGGATTGAAGTGTGCCTGACCACAGGAGAAAAGATTTCATCATAATCAACTCCTTTCTGCTGTGAAAAACCCTTCGCTACCAAACGAGCCTTGAACTTCTCCCCCTCTTTTTCTGTTACTGCTGGTTTCTTTTTATACACCCATTTGCAACCAATCGGCTTCTTACCCTCATGAAGGGGAACTAACTCCCATGTGCGATTATGATTCAAAGACTTCATCTCCTCAACCATGGTTGCCATCCACTTGTCGTTTTCCTGACTAGTAATGGCATCATGAAAAGTAACTGGATCATCACTTCTAACAATAAGTGCAAAAGATACCAAGTCTTCAAAACCCAATCTGTTCGGAGGCTTTATATTCGTCCATCTCACCCTGTCTCTGGCGAGACTATAATCCTGCAAATCATCCATAGTGGAACCACCAGAAGTCAGTTTAGAAGTTTCTGGTTTCTCAACTGGAAACTGCTCGAAATCCACCACTTTCGTGTCTTGCTTCTGCTGCAATATGGACTGTTCATCAAAAACGACATCTCTACTAATCACAACTTTCTTCGCAACTGGATCCCAGAACTTGAATCCTTTGACACCTTTCTTGTAACCCAGAAAAATGCACTCCTTCGATTTTGCATCAAGTTTGGATCTCTCATCAGCAGGTACATGCACATAAGCAGGACAACAAAAAATCCGTAAGTTATCAAAACTAACATCATGACCAGTCCATACCTCTTCTGCAACTTTCCCAGCCAGCGATGCCCTTGGCGATCTGTTGATAAGGTAACACGCCATGTTAACAGCCTCAGCCTAGAAGTGTTTGGGAAGCCCCGCATTCAACCTCAAACATCTGGCTCTTTCATTTAATGACCTATTCATTCGTTCCGCAACACCATTCTATTGTGGTGTTTTGCGCACTGTAAAATGCCTCTGAATCCCATGCTCCTTACAGAATTGTAGGAACTGTGAATCTGTGTACTTCGTACCATTGTCAGACCGTAAACACTTGATTTTTCGTCCTGTTTGGTTTTCTACATCAGCTTTCCACAGCTTGAACTTCTCAAAAACTTCAGATTTCTGTTTCAAAAAATACACCCAAACTTTCCATGAAAAATCATCAATAAAAGTAACATAGTACCTAGATCCACCCAAATACGATGTCGTGGAAGGCCCCCATACATCAGAATGCACATAATCAAGAATCCCTTGAGTTGTGTGCTTCGTAGTCTTAAAACGGACTTTAGTCTGTTTACCAAGAACACAATACTTGCAAAAATCGAGCTTACAGCTTTTGACACCATGCAACAAGTTTCTCTTGTGTAATTATGTCATACCACGTTCACTAAGATGAGCAAGGCGCATATGCCACAATTTTTTCGTATCATCACATGACTCAACATAGTGAACTCCACCTGCAACGGTACTCCCTAACAATCTGTAGATATTCCCTGCAGTCATCTTGCCTTTCATCACAGTCAATGCTCCTTTAACAATCCGAATGGTTTCCCTATCCTCGTCAGCCTTAGGGATAAAACCATTCTTGTGCAAAGTACCCAAGGAAATCAAATTCTTCTTCAAGTCTGGGATATGTCGAACACCACTCAACGTCCGAACGGAGCCATCGTGCATCTTAATTCTGACATCACCAATACCAACAATATTGCAACATCGATCATCACCCAAATAAACCGAACCAGAATTAACCGACCTGTATGTCGAAAACCATTCCCTATTTGGCGTGATGTGATAAGAACATCCAGAATCAAGAATCCAAGCATTCGTCAATTGTGTCGTTGAAATAGAAAGCATATCACCCTCACTGCAATCAGAATTATCATCCTCGACCACGTTCACAGACTTGGATGAGCCATCACGCTTCTCATCAGTCTGCTTTTTCAACTTCGGACAGTCTCGCTTCATATGTCCCGCCTCCTTGTACTTGTAACAGTGAATCGTCTTCTTATCCCTGGATTTGGATCTGGAATTCCGCTTCCCGGACCCTGCCTTCTCTGGCTTCCGTCCACGATCTCGATTACCCTTGACATATAAGCTATCGGCTTGAGAGCTTTTCCCTGCATTCTGCTTCCGCTGGTTGTGAGCCAACAAGGCTGCAGTAATCTCTTCAACGTTGATAGTCTCTTTCCCATATGTAAGAGTAGTCACCATGTGTTCGTAAGAGGGAGGAAACGAACACAACAGAATCATCGCTCTGTCTTCATCCTCAATTTTCACATCAAGCCGAGCCAGATCAGAAACGATTTGATTAAAGACATTCACGTGTTGCGCCAAATCGTGATCGTCCTGCATCTTCAGCCCATACAGCCGCTGCTTCAGATACAGTTTTGTCGTTAAGGATTTGGACATAAACTGACTTTCCAAATTCCTCCAAATTTTATCTGGAGACGATAGATGCATGACGTGATACATGACCTCGTCCGCCAAACATAATCGTATGGTTCCTACCGCTCGCTGCTGCAATTCTTCCCAATCTTCCTCATCCATCGACGCCGGCTTTGAAGCTCGCAAAGCCTTCAAGATCCCTTGCTGCGCTAATAGATCCTTCACCCTCGTTTGCCATAATCCGAAGTTACCCTGACCATCGAATTTCGCGACTTCGAATTTTGCTCATGACATCTGATACCAATTGTTGACGAAAACGGGTAAAGAAAACAAAAGAACACGAGAATTTTATGAGGTTCGGCAATGTGCTTACGTCCTCGGTGCTTAGGCGGCGCTAGAAGTTTTATTCAATGATCTTTTAGGTCTAGGTTACATCTCTATTTATAATAGAAAACTCTGGTACATAATTACAAAATCAACCCTAGTACAACGAGACTTTCTTTGTAAGGACAGTTGATGTTCGTTGCGTTCGCTTCGCTCACTCCGCTCCATCTCCTGTCCTCTTTACTGATATATTTATGAGCCATACCTAACAGAATGCAATTAGGTGACAGACGAGTTGGCGAAATCTGGTATAATTATTGAATCTATTTTTGTTAAGATTTATTGATGTTGATGCTATGTTGTATACTGTTGCCTTTTCTATTTTGTTTTAGTAATATATGATTTTTGTTCAAGGAAAATGAACATAGAAGATCACATTATGCATCATTTAAAAGCTCATTCAAATAAAAGGAGAAAAAGACACATAATAATGATCAACATTATAGAAGAGTCACCTACAAATACATAATTTCACAGCACCTTGCAATAACAAACTACGTTACATATTGTTGCCTTTGATGTTGATTTTTGTAATGTTACATTATGATATTCTTTCTATGGTTCGAGTTCTTTTTCCCCCCCTTAAATAAACATTTCTTTTTAATGTTTGACTTTTAGCTCATCTTAACTATTAGTTTTCATTTATAGTTGTATGGTTGGGTGAGATAAAATTCATGAATATAAAAACTGATAAATATATGGATAGGCACAAAAATAAGTTAAAAAGAATGATGAGGTAATGGGCGGCGGGTTAGGAGTTGGACATTGAAGAGGAAGATTCAGCTATGCAGAAAATTCAATGGTTGAAGTGAAAACATCTCAAAGCATTCAGTGACTACCAATGTAGTTTACCCTTCAATTTAATCTCTACATTTTATAAAATTTTGAAATGTTAGTCCCTTTACTTTAATTTATCAAAATTTTATCCTTATAACCGTTCCATTAAACTGTTGACTAGAAATTTATCAGTTCAACAATTTATATGTAACAAATATATATATATAGAAACAGTCCAAACTTATATGTTTATTATCAACTTAACTGAAAGTACTTTATATATAAAGATTAAGTTGTACAATGAAATCTGTGAATTAATATATGATTCTCAAATTGATTTTATTATGATTTTATAACAAACCCTATGTTTTTTATATCTATAAAATTACATATTTTCCCAATACAAACCATGGACGCAAAAGCTATACTATTTAGCAGCTAACAATGAAGTCTAATGGCCCTTTATTTATACAAAACTAAGAGAAGAGCCTTCCTAATAAAATCCCACTGAAAATTAGGGCACCAAACCATTTGTTGGACATGAACCTGCATCCATCAAAATTTAAATGTCTATCAAATACGAAAATTTTAAAAATTAATTTTTTTAAAATGTATATTTGAATAATCACACTCTAAAATGTATATTTGAATAAACGTTAGATGATACATACTTCTGATTGCAATCCGCTGGGGATGACAGGTTTGCTGTTCCTATCTGCCAGGCTAATTGTGCAGACGCAGCTGCTAAAAACGCATAAAACGGCCACCCTGCTTCCGGGAAATAATCATGGGATTAATTAATTGAACATGCAAGTGTTTGTTGAAATGTCCCAATCAATTACCTATTGCAGCATTGTATCCAGTCATAGCAAAACTGGCAATGCATGCAATTGCAAAGCCAGTAATACACTCCTTCGTTGATTCACCGAATTTCAAGGCTGTCGACTTAATGCCTACTTTCAAATCATCTTCCTTGTCCTGAACAATACACAAACAGTACGTGTTTTTTATATGACACTAAACGCAGCAGATAAAATTATTGATATTGTTTGTCTTTGTTTACCTGGTGAGCATAAATGGTGTCGTAGACGATAGTCCAACAATAACCAGAAAGGAAAAGTGGCAACACAATTGATGGTTGTAAGCCTCCTTTGATTGCATGCCACCCAAATAAAACCCCCCAGTTGACCACTAACCCTAAGTAGGCTTGTGGCTGCATCATCATCAGAAACCAAGACAAGATTTAGATTTCATATGAGAAGGTGTAAACTTATGAATTTATACTGACTACACCTTCTAACACCCTCTCGATCTATCCCTAATCATCGTCATAAATTAGCAAAAGGTATTTTAATTTCTATATATATAATTACTGGTTATTACCCAATATGTCATTCTCTTCATGAGAGGATAGGTACAAATGAGGAAGAGGAATAAAGCCTCGTACATCAAGCTGTAAACGAGAAATACAGAAGTTTAGATCGAAATAATTAGACAAATTATTGAGGAAAAAAAACAAAAGGTAGGGATCAGGATATCAAGTGACCTATTGTTGACAAGTTGTTGGAGAATTCCATGACTCAAAAGCATTTGAAACGCAAAGAAACATAGTCCTTGAAACGGTGTGACAGCGCCACTTGCCATCGGTCTCGATTTTGTACGTTCCACCTGCAACAATAATCAAAGATGTTCACATAAAATTCTTTGTAGGTTAGTTTTTTTTCATATTTTAATCTTTTCAGATTCGGGTTTTTTAAATCTGAGTTTTCTTCGAGTTACTGTATAAAGAAGAAATTACCAGTTTATCGAAGTCACGATCAAGGAAATCATTAATGGTACAAGCAGCACCCCTCAAAAGTGGACATGCACAAACAAATAAAGCTAAAGTCTTGAAATCAGGGAGGCTTCCGGTCGTTGCTGCCACCGTAGCTGACCTATACGTATACAAAATTATAATCAAGAAATATATATATATATATATATATATATATACACATGATCATATGTAAATGAAGTGTTAATTAGTTACCATGCAAAGGGAAAAAGCAGTAGCCATGTACCGATAGGCTTCTCCACACGAGCAAGCTTAGCGTAAGGCTGAATTTCTTGGGGTAAGTACTCAACCCACGGTGAAACTTTAACAACTTCCTCATTCGGCTGCACAGTGATTAGCTTTCGGTCACCTTTTCTGCCTCCAGGAGACGTGATCGTCGACTTGCAAGCAACTCGGGTTTTGTAACTCGAGGACTGACATGTCGACGAATCAATTTTCCGAGAAAATAAAGATGGATTAGCAAATGGGGTGTTGAGAATGGGATGATGCTTCAACATCCTTGTTGTTGGGTGTGCAGAAACGAGAGAAGCACAAGAGACTGAAAGAGAAGCCATTGTGTATGTGTTTTGGTTCCTTGATCGCAAAGATGTACACTTTGGTCAAGCCTGAACTGTGAGTGATACAGATGTTTAGATGAGTGTGTTCTTATATATATATACTAAGAGGGAGAGGAAATTCAAGTCCAAACTGGAAAGAAGAAAGTTATTGGTAAAAATTACTACTTTTTTCTTAACATCGGTCTAAATAAGGTGTGGAAAAAATTAGTCTATGATTGAAGTTGGTAACTTTCTACAATCCCAGCATTGCACTGTTTTATACTAGCAAGTCAACTATATATATTTCTAATATGCTTAATAGCGGTCTGCAAAGGCAACCATTTTTGTTGAAAACATAACTACGGTCGCTTAGGTATACGACTTGTATAAGTTTAAAATTTATATAATTCTTTAAGTTTTTTTAAGTTCATAATTATAAAACTATTATTACTTAGTTCACGACTTAGTTTTTCTTATAATTCTAAAAATAACCAAAAATAAAACTAAAAATGCATTTCATAAATGCGTAAAGTTTCGTGTACGGATGTGATACTGAATAAATTAGGGGCACGCATATGGTATTGGATACTGTTCTTATACATGAAAACGATACTCTATCCCATGCTGAAAACAAAAATATTGGGTCAAGATATTTATATGCTCAATATCGGTGTGGAAAAGTCAACAAATTCTGTGGAAAAGAATAACCCAAATTATGTTATCTAGAATTGATTTTGAATAAGAGCACCTACCATATCTCACCGAGCTCAACCACCTAGTCAAGTGGCGTGGAGGACTTTGAGCAAGAGGGACCAACATGAACTTTGTGTAAAAGTTAATGGCATTTGTTATAATTACAAAATTGTTAAGCTCAGCGACGAACACACATTGTAGCTCAAAACCATGCTCCAGTGAACCCAAAAATTGAGAAAACTTGAAGCTCCAATGAACCAAACATATATATTTATAGACATACAGTTGGACAGATCAGATGATTCAGGTTTAACAAGACTAGTTTCAACATGTTCACATGGAGACAAGCACTGTGAAATTTACAAAGCCACCAACTGGAGCAGGAACTTGAAAATATAAAGTAAATGGATTCCAATACGACACCGGGGAGTCGTGATATACCTAGGGTCGATTGGTTGCATTCTTAGCCTCAACGATTTGAGCCTCGGTTTGTGCATGTTTTATTGCGCAAACCTCGGCTAAGAACGAATTGGCTTTTTTGGGTGCCTCGTAGTGTTGACGGCAGAGCTACTTGTATAACAGGTTGTATGCTGGTAAATCTTGTATTCTATGTACGTCATCCAAAGACAGGTCTCTCTGCAGTTGCGTGCTTGTTACTCGTAAAACCTCCTGCACAAACAAAAATTGTCAATATGTCGAAGTTTGCCAATATGTGAATGTCAGAAGGGAGAGAGAGGGGCAGGAAGTACATTGAACTTCATGTAGGAAGCATGCATAGCAAGCCACTGAGCATCCATCAATTCAAAAGCTACACCATATAATATATAGAAGGCTACTGCATCTTCTGCAAAATTCCAAACATTCAAGATCGTGAGACTGAATACCGAGAACCGGCAAAACAAAAGTTGGTTTCATAGTTCCAACCACACTTGAACTTAAAGCACTAAAATACTCGTTTCTATTACCTCCTAATAGTTTCATAAAATTGTATCACTACAACAAAACTGATATGTAGCGGCGTTTTTAGCGGCGTTTGGAGAGAAAACGCCACAAAATTTAAACATATAGCAGCGTTTACAATCGTAGCGCCACAAATTGATACTTTAGCGGCGTTTATTGTAAAAACACTGCAATAGATTTGACATTTAGCGGCGTTTTTACAAAAAACGCCGCAATAGGGTGGTTTATTACGGCGTTTGTTAAAAAACGCCGTAATAGAGTGGTAAATTAGTGGCGTTTATACCACAAACGCCACAATAGATTGGTAAATTAGCGGCGTTTATACCACAAACGCCGCAGTAGATTACACATATAGTGGCATTTATTCTTAAAACGCCGCAATAGTTTTAATCAATAGTGGTGTTTTTTAACAAACGCCACAATAGTGTAATCAATAGTGGCGTTTTTTTGTATAAACGCCGCAAAATGTTAAATATTTAGTCCTCTTTTTCTCCTACCTGAACCCTAAAAACAATTAAACTCTTCTTCCCTCAAAGCTTCTTCTCTGGAACAACAATAGCTCTCAAACGATTCCTACCGACGTCGTCGTTTGTATGTCCTGGCGACCAAATCGGGCCTCTCACCGACGAACTATAACACAACTGCACGGTTTAATCCCTCTTATCATTAATGATCTTTTTCATTTTTTTGGTCTTCTGAAAATGGGGAAAACCCAAAAAGCTAACGTATTTGAGAAAAAGAGAGAAGGTGTTGCCTTGAGTAAGAGAAATTATCGTCGACGGGATGTCTAAGTGGCGTATTTGCTCTGATGATGGATCAAATTATCGTTGGGAGGATATCGGTCCGGTCTCGCCGTCGAAACTGGATGATGACCCGAAAGGAACTCCTATTGCTTCATACCCTTCCATGGTCGATCTCCTTCTTAAAGGTAATAATCTATGCATCTTTCAGCCGCTATAATTTTTTTTCTACGCTCAATCAAATTTCATAGATTGTATGAATATAGGATCTTCGAAGCTTATTGAGAATGATGATAGAGGAGTGGATAAATACCCGATGTTTAGAACTGAATTTGGTAACTCTGTGGCGTTGAAAGAATCTTCAATTGCAAAAGCAGTATCTATCCTCAATGAAGATGAAGTTGCCTCTACTGTTACTCCAAGTAAACATTTCTATCATCTATTTAAATTTATTTTAATTTTTATTTAGTTCGCAAGCCACCTACAATCAAGTTTCATACTGTAGGTGAAAGGCCATTATCTGTTTCAAGTGAAGCACTGAAGCGCGCAAGGACTCTTCTTGGTGAACCGGAGGTAGGAGATTTATTTGGTGAAATGGATGAAGAGTTTCTCCATATAGAGTTTACACGGAGGAAAAACTTAACGATACGTCGTCAAACAAGGAAAACAGCTTTCCTACGTCCTTTCCCCACGAATGAGCACAACTAAATTCTACTTAACAATATGGTGAAGACTGTTTATGCATAACTTTAATGTTTCTAACTTGTAATGTATTTTGTTGCTAAGTATTTTTATGCATAACTTATGTCTTAATTAAAATGTATGGTTGTTGTTAATATGTAAAATCAACTAATGTTTCTCCATATAGTGTTTATACATATATCAGTCAATTTAGTTGATGTACATTAGAAATGAAATATGTAAAATCAACTAATATTATCTAAATAAAAGGTAATTAGCGGCGTTTGTATCCAGAAACGCCGCTATAGGTACATACTTTAGTGGCATTTTTATACAAACGCCGCTATAGAATCGTACGTTAGTGGCGTTTTTATACAAACACCGCTATATACTAGTACTTTAGTGGCGTTTCTATACAAACGCCGCTATATACTCATACTTTAGTGGCGTTTTGAATCTAAACACTGCTATAAACTCATACTTTAGTGGTGTTTTGAATGAAAACGCCGCTAAATACTCGTACTTTAGCAGCGTTTTTATATAAACGCCGCTATAGACTTGTACTTTATTGGCATTTTTATACAAACGCTGCTATAGACTCGTACCCTTAGTGGCATTTTTAGATAAACGCCGCAATAGATATAATATTTTGTGGGTTTTTTTAAGATAAACACCGCAATAGATATAATATTTTGCGGCGTTTTTATAAAAACGCAGCTATAGGCTAGGAAAGTAACGACTCAGTAGAATTGTCAATTAGCGGCGTTTGGTTTACAAACGCCGCAAAGTATTATAAAAACCCCAAAATCAAATTTCTTGCTCGAGCCCTAATTTCTTTCTCACCATCGTTCAACCAAGCATTCTGGATCCCCTTTCAGTGTCATTTCAGCAACTCCGCCTTGCCCTCCATCATCGGTTCATTTTCTTTCTTCCGTAGCCACAAGAAGCCAGAGACCCAGAGCCACCCAAACCAACGCCATTACATTTACGCCAGGTACTCTCTAAATCTCTTCTTTGCACTGAAATAAAAATGGGTATTGATTTACCATCTTGTGTTTAGGATTTCTCATGCTTTTATGTAATGAAATTTTTAGTTTAAACATGCAATGTTTGGTTCTCCGTTACGGACGTATGATCCCCATTTATTGTTTTGAATGTATGTTTGAGTATAAACATTTTGACCGATTGTTTCTAGAGATAAATGAATGGACAGCCGATTGTTTGAGCGATTTTAATTTGTTTCATGATGTCGTTTGGTAGTCAGGAAAGAAATATGTCCATTTTGAGGGTCGATACTAGGAAATTAGAATTTATTGGACTGTGTTGCATTTAGAATTTTATTTTTCTTAAGTAGAACACTATTTAAATGTTATTATTATTTGAAACATTAATCGATTCCATGAAACAACTCGATGCAAGCCGAGCCAACCATGTATAACAGTGCACTCATTGTCGGCCTCCTTTCGAGTTTGGTCACCACATCTTCTGTAGTTAGGTCCTTCACTTGAAAAGTAGTCAGAGAATGTAATCGTTATCACATATTTGTTTTGTGTACTATATTGGTATACCTTGGTTTTCCTCCAAACTTTAGCGTTTAGGTAGTTCATTTTACAGGGCTAACATAAGAAAATTGTGTTGTTTCATCATGTTGTTTCCCACGTTCAGAACTTGAAGATTAGTGCGAAGCACTTTTTGTGTTGCGTTTGAAAATTGTGATTAGATCCATCAAGATACACAAGCTCGAGAGCACTCATATTAGTTAAGCAATTTGGAATTGGACTGCTTAAATTGTTATGCGATGCATCGGAAACGTAAAGCTGACTCAAATTGTAAATAGGTGTAGGTAAAGAGGCTTTAGAAGAAGTTAAACTCTGGTTGGGTAAAAGTTGATCATTTATCCTCTAATATATGATATGTTAGCTTTGTTGTAGCAAGTATGATAAATAATAGTGATATTTAATTTTCATTTCAACATAGTTCAAATTTTAAATGAGTTAACTGAGAGTTAGGGAAAGATCAATAATGGTTTTGTAGGTTTGTAAATTCGATTGAGAAAGTATTAATAGGAAAAATAATTTATAGGATTGGATCAAGGATTTGAATATTATTGCACTAGAATTCAAACATTATTTATATGTTTCTTCATAGTTTTCTTCAATTTAGTATTTTAAGAACAAAATATAGATTGTCTTGTTTATAGCTTTTGCATTTGAATATACTTCATGGTAGGGACTGTGTATATAATCTTAAGACAACATTTAGCTGTTTTGATTTGATATTTAAGATAACAACAAATAATAGCCTGAATTACGACTAGAAATGGTCATGAAATATTCTTATTATGTTTGTGTGTATGGTAATGGCACAGAATAATAAGCCTAAAATTTCTAATTGTGATTTACTCGAATACTTGAGCTTACTTGAACCTTAATTTACATTCAACTAACGCCTTAGTTGACATAGTATTTCCCATTAGTTTTCATATACAAGGGTATGAGCAAAAATATTAATATTGTATTAATACAACAAGAGAGCAACCTTTTAATAGTCCAACTCAGTTTAGTTTACAATAGTCTGTGTAAAAATCATAAAACTGCAACCACCATGTTTTTCTAATGAATCTCACTTCTAATAGTTGTACTTTATAGATCATATACCTCATACTAGGGTTGAAAATGCTGATTTTTTTTTAATTCTAATACCAATAGATAAGTGCACCCACAACAACTAGAATCACAATTATTTATTGTGACACTCAAATTTTATTTCTTGTTTACCATAAGAAACTTCCATTGCTCTTACTCACCTTCCGATGAGGAAAAATAATAAGGTTTAGCATTTTGTTTACCAAACAAATTTGTTGCTAAGTGTGTTGAAGGATTCTAGTATGCAAGGAATTCTGTATTTTTTTATATATGTATTTTGTTCTCCGTATTTCTTGTTTTTCCCAATATTCTGCATCGAATCAGTTGAGTAACCTACAAGCTTTACCTCTACTACCACAAAACTTAGTAGAGATATCATTGAAACAAGATCAGAAAGTTTACCTCTACTACCACAAAACTTAGATGAAACTATCAGTAATACAACACAATTTCAATGGGTTCGGGAGGATGTTGATGAAGATATTTATGACAACTGACATTATATAAAACTTTTGTACGATTTTATATCTTCATTTATTTATTTATAATGTTATAACCTTTAACATGTTATCTTTCAATATATTCATTAATTAATTCATTTTTTATTACTCATGTTTGTTTATTATAGATATCATGCCGAGGAGAAAAATAAATAATTTACGGGTTGTTCAAGTTTCCGAAGACCATGAAGAAAGAAATAACGAGGAATCAAATGCACCTGAGTCTTCCGAAGTTCCGGAAACTGTTGAAGAAGACGTAGAAATTCAAAGTATTCTTCGAAACATTATTTACTACTTTGTTTGTTTTCAAAACTAGCATTTTATAATTTCTTATATAGTTGAAAATGCTCGAACGCACAAGACTCGAGGACGTACAACTTTGAAGGAATTATACCAACTTCCTCCTGGGCATCGTGTCAAAGTTTCAAGAAACGATGCCGGTCAACCTATTGGCCCAGAATCACATCTTCTAGCAGGTTACTTAGGCATAGTTGGACATAATGCGAATCTGTTACCGATCAATTACGAGTCATGGCACGAAATGCCTAATAGTAACAAAAATCAAGCGTTGGATTTTGTTAAGGTAATAATGTCATTATAATACATACTCTATAGAAATTCAATACTAATTTATACTTACGGTGCACACTTATATGTTGTATAGGAGAAATTTTCTTTAGAGGCCTCTGACGATTATGTGAAGCAAACGTTAGGGAAGAGATTGAGGGATCACAAGAGCTCCTTAAAGAAGAAATACTTCAAGAATGATCTCAGCCTTGAAGAGAAGTTGCAAACAATCCCACCAGGAATGCTCAGGTACCAATGGGAAGATGCAGTCAGATTTTGGAGTTCACAAAAAGGACAGGTATGATGTATTTTTCATAAATAATTGTAACGAATTGTAAATCATCATTAAAACTGGTTGTTTGACATTGTAGACCCGAGAGCATATTGGTGTTGCTAGCAGGCAACAACAAAAGTTTACCCACACGGCTGGATCGAAGAGTTTTGCTTGTATAGCTCATTAGGAGGTATTATAGATTATTGAAATAGTTTTTTTGTATTCCATGTACATACTAACTCATAGTAATTATATTATGGTACATTGTAGGAAAATACATCCGGTTCTAAAGTTGGTCGAATCCAACTCTTCGACATGACACATACGAAGAATGATGGCACTCCTATGACTGCTGACGCTGCAGAAATTATGGTACGTTTTTTGGGTAGATGTTTTAAATTTACCTGACTTTATTTATATTTGTACCATGACATTTTTTATTTTAATTAATTATTCACCTTATTAGGAAAAATTGAGGGAGAAAAAGGCGGAGTATCATGTTACTGCTTCGAGTCAAGGTATTGTTAATGATGATGACATTGAAAACCAAGCTATTAATGACGTTTTGGGTCCTGAAAGATATGATCGGGTGCACTGTAAAGGATCATTCGTTACTCCCACCAAATATTTTGGATCCAGTTCATCACAGTACATGTCATCACAGTCTCAATCTTCCCACCAAGAAGTTTGTCGTTTAAAAGAAAAGTTGGCTGAGATGGATCAACAAATGGCTAACTTGAAAGCGGAAAATAAAACAAGGGAAGCAGAGAGAGCAGCAACAGAAGCAACCAGAGCAGCAGCGGAAGCAGAGAAAGAATTTGCGGCAGCATAGAGAGAAGCAGCGGCAGCACAGAGAGAAGTAGCATATCAGCAGAGATGTGAAGAATTTGAAAAACGACTCAATGATATGATGCTGATGATTCAGAAAACGCAACCTCAGAATTCATCATCGTAGTCTCATTTATGTTATGAGCATTCTACTGAACCTTCTGTAACTGAACTTATATTACATTAATGAAAACTTTTATTTATTATATTGGATTTGATGTTGTTTCTTATGAATATAGAGTTTGAAATTATTCTTGTTTTGTTTGTTGGATAATGGAACAGGTTGAAAAAACAGTTTTGGGGTAATCAAGCATAATTTTTAGGATTGTTAAATTCTGTATTATTTAGCGGCGTTTGTAAAAAAACCGCCGCAATCTACCATACATTTAGTGGTGTTTTTATCCTAGAAACGCCGCTATATACAGACTTGTACCGGCTTTTTTAGTAGAAACGCCGCAAAACATCAACACCTACTGCGGCGTTTTAACAAAAAACGCCGCTAAACATCATAACATATTACGGCGTTTATCTGAGAAACGCTGCTAAATATTAACACCTATTGCGGCGTTTTTATGACAAACGCCGTTAAAAATCAACACCTTTTGCGGCGTTTTTATAAAAAAAAAAGTCACTAAATATCAATACCTATTACGGCGTTTGTTGAAAAACGCTGTTAAATATCAACACCTATTGCGGCGTTTTTATGACAAACGCCGCTAAATATCAACACCTATTACTGCGTTTTTATAACAAACGCCACTAAATATCAACACCTATTGCGACGTTTTTCACACAAACGCCGCTAAATATCAATACTTATTGCGGCGTTTTTTGTGAAAACCGCCGCAAACTTTAGCGGCACTATTTTCAACGGCGATTTTTGTGACGTTTGTCTTAACGCTGCATGTGTTTTAGCGGCGCTTATAAACGCCGCTAAAGGTAAAAAAAACATCGCAAAAAGCCTGTTTTGCTGTAGTGTATCCTGCTAGATTTTTTGGTGTTTCTGCAAAAAAGAGAGGATCCGATCAACGAAAATGTCTGCATTATAACTTAACAGACCCTCGAAACCTAGCAGAACATCCTGAAACATGCACTATCGACTTCCATGAAAATATCATGATGAAGATTGTCCGAACAATGGATAGGCCACTATATCTACAAGAGACATAAATCCAACAAACCTGAATATAAATCCAACAACTGAATCAACATAAAAGATACATTGATGCCAGCAACAGCGAATGGGTATTCCCAAGTAGCTCTGTTTCCATCTTGCTTAAATAATAACCTATATGTATTTTAATATAATTAGTAAACAAGACAATTTTCTTGCAAAATATAGACACGGAAAAACAAAGACGAAAGAGAAGGCTTACCGGATAATTTAGGCCAAAATACAGCAAATTTTCAAGTGAAATAAAACCGCAACCCCTAAGGTGAGAAGTTCTCTTTTAGACAAATAAAATTACTGTATGCTATTTGTTACACATCCTTTTCAAGTCTCCTAGATACCTCTATGGACAGATAGCTATTTAAAAGGTCGTAAAACGAAAATGAAAGAAGCGTACCGAAAATCCGTTGATGGATTAACACCTTGCCACCCCATATCTTTCCACTGTTCAGAGATCAAGCCTGTCAGAACAACATTGGGAAAGGCGATGTTCCACAATTTTATGAGAGCTTTCTGTCACACCAAAGGATCATGAGATCAATAGTCTTCTAAATTATATGACACTTCAGCTGATTAAAATGAAACATAGAAGACGAATGGAAACCACAACTATTTACATAATTATAGAAGCTCATTAAATTGTTTGCAAGATCTTCTGGTAGAAAGGGGTAAATAGGAGTTGTTATTTATGCTGTATAACCATGTCTGTTCATAGTTAGAAAAGATAGAAAACAATATGGATGTTAAAAGAATGAAGAAAGTGCCTGATGGTCGGGATGAGTCTCGTCAAAGGGTACATGTAGTCGTTCTTGAAGCCTTCGAAGTCTTTGTTGCTGATCAGAATTAGAAGAAAAAAAAACTATATCAATTTTATTATCACTACATACATACATACATACATACATACGTAATGAAGATGTTTATATGTACATGTAATATATATGTATACATACATATATATATAGATACAAATCACCCTAACAAAAACAATACTATAGTTCTGAATCAATTTTTCATTAGTGCACAACAAATGCCACAAATTCTCTCGGCACATCATCAGACCGAATACTCAAGAAATGATGGCAAAAACCAGTTCAGTTCTACTCAAGCAAGTATGCTTTTCTATCGTAAACTGAAGATAATTACATGAAATTGCAGCATTCACCGTCTTATAACAGAGTACATAAATCTTAATCAGTCCTAAGTCCTAACTTCACATTGTAAATTACCTCAATAGGATTCAAAGTGTAGTCAAGAAACTTCTCAGTAGGCTTGCTGAAGCGATTGAAGAGCCCTCCTAACCATGATCGTGGTCCAACCATGGCATTAGATATAACCAGACGAGGCTGATCAGAGATATTAAACAATGAGTTGTAAACTGAATGCTGAAAATTAAGACCATCCTAATTGGGAATACTAAAAGAATTTATCAAGAAAATCTACTCACTAAAACATTGAGGTAATTGTGATATGAGGTGAGTGGAATTGTGTGGCCATTCCAACTCTCGACTGCCTTTCTTTTGTCTCCAGTAAACTTCATCCTCATCAACCTACATTTCAATTTTAAGCAAACTATTCAATACCAATTAGTTGCACGGCAGGTTCAAAATTTGGAAGCTAAACTTTGTAACTAAGCTCTTAGCTATTCATTAGATAATGTAAATGCATTCACTCAGACATAACTGAGAGAACAAGAGACATAATTTATTCAATTCATAAATGGAAGAATTTTCCATGATTAAGATTAATAAAAAAACAGATTAAGCTAACAGATATGTCTAATTAATACACTAGTAATTACTCTGTGATGAGAAGAGCAAGAAGGAAAGCATTGGCGATGCTTCCTTAATCTCATGAGAGAATCATGAACAAAAGGATTAGTTTCACATTCCTTTTAACCAAAGTAAAAATGGAAAAAAAATGGGTAACAAATTATTGCAGTAAACTCATGCGCCTCCATCCAATTCAACCCTTGTCATCATTAGAGATAGGGCGAATGAATATATTAATGACACAAACACAAAGATTCCCAGAAAAAATGAAAAATATGAATCATTTTTCATCTTAAAAGCGCAATCAAAGGCCACTTTTTGCTGTAAGAAACTTTAATTGCACCCCAAGAGAACAAAGCTTTGCAAAAAGTCATAAAAGATAATAGCTTTTTGTCTCTGGTTCGACAACGACATGAAATGCAAGACAAAGCTCAAAAACACCCACACAAAAGGGCAAAAAGGATACTTTTTTTACCTCGAAAGAGATTCTCTACCTGTTATTTCATGTGTTGAGAATAAATTTGGGTGATGGTTTCATTGAGGCGAAGTGCCCGATTGCCTTTGAGACAAAAGAGACGAGGAAGAGGGAGAAGAGATGGAGAATGGCAGCATGTTATGTCGTTGTTAGAAGGAATTTGGATACATCATAGGATTGATGCAGGTATTATTGTTTATCGTCTCTCTATGCCACGAAGTTCCCTGATCATTTGCCTTCATCGTAGCACTCTGTTGGGGTGTTATATATATTTGTTGTTGTTGCTGTTGTTATCCCCTCTGGTTTACTAAGCTTTGGCTGGCTTATGTTATAAAACAAACTCAAATTTGATCTTCAAATTGTTATGAAAATTATATTTACAATTAATGTTAAGTTTCCTTTTGAAAACAGAATTAAAATAAAATCGATTAGTTATATGTAATGAAATTTGACTAAAAAGAATTATATTGGTTTGCATCAATTCAGTTCATAGTTTTAAATATATATATATATATATAATTTTCTCACATCGTTTGATTCTGATTTGTGATTTATAGGAGGTCTTTCAATAGCTTGATTCTCTTTTATACTTCGTTTGTTGATACAATCAGAATTGTTTGTATTTATATTTAGTTCAAGTTTATTTGATTAGATATTTCAATTTTTTCTTTATTTGATCATTGTATGATCTTAAATAAATGGTATATTGTGTTAATTATTAGTAAAAGATCATTATTATATGTTTAGTTTATAATTGCATGTTTTAAAACTTTATTGTAATTTAAATATTTTTTATTTGTAATAAAATTAGTTGTTATTATAAAAATATATATAATTTAAAATAATAACTCATTTTAAAATGGTATATTATTTTTACACTTAAAAAATAATTAATTTTGTAACTAAATTAGATTTTAATAAATATGTTTTTTGTTCTTAATGATAAAGAGTAGAAGTCTAGAAGAGTAGGCTTTCAATGCAAGGGACTCCTACGATCTCGATCAAGGAGATGCTGAATTTCAGTCGGAGGGCCTTCAAGAGTGGTCATAAAGTGCTCCCAAATATTCGGAAGTTTGGCAAGGGAATCGACAGGACGATTTCCTTCTCGAGGAATCCAAATAATATCAGTCATCCAAGCTTCGTTCCCGAGTCTTGCTATTGCTCGCACCAAGGATAACTGGGATTTGATAGCAGCAGCATTATTCACCATTAGGATAGCTTGCTGACCGTTCGACTGCACTTGAAGAACTTAAATGTCGTGACGCCATGCGAAGAGAAGACTAGAGTAAATGGCCTAGAGCTCAGCTTGGAGAGCATCAAGAACTCCCACAGCTTTATAGAAACCGATTATCCAGGAGCCATCATTGTCTCGAATGAGACCACCAATAGAACTTGCTCTAGTCAGCTGAGAAACAGCTCCATCCACGTTTAGGCAAAACCAATAGGAATTAGGCGCCTTCTATTGGTTATTGTCGAGTTGCATCAAGGGATTTGAATTATGGTTAGTCAACCGGCCAAAGAAATACCTGGCCTAGTTGATGCTAGATCGAATCAGCTCAAAGTTCGAGATTCTACGAGAGTTGAAGACGATCTCGTTCCTACGCTTCCAAGTTCTCCAAATATAAGCTCTCCGGTAAATATATTTAATCAAAAATTGAACTAATGTATTAAGTAGGGTTGTAAGAGTCGTGTTCGACTCTATTCGGAAAGATTAAAGTTGAGTTCGACTTGAGTTGAAAGCTTACGAGTTTAAAATTATCAAGTTCGACTTGAACTCAAAATTAAAAATTGAAACTTGAGCTCAAAAGAACTTAAAATATTCTCAGACTTAGTTCCATTGAAACTCAAAGCTGATTGTAAACCTATATTATAAATACATGAAAATCTTTTTATATAACATCTAAAAACAACAATGTATATATATTAATATAATTAATAGTTATTTCTTTCTCGATCCCATCAATACGATCTTATAGTTATTATTTTATGCAGAATTTAACACATTTCATTAATTTATTATATTAACCTTAAATTGAAGTCTAACCTATCATTATAATCAATTTATAACCTTTCTAGAAGTAAAGTGTAACGTTTGATTACTAATATGTATTAAAAATATATTTACTATAAAATATATTCTCTTTGTCCTTTAAAATCTGTTAATTGTTGATTATTTGGTCATTTTTTAAAATTTTAATTAATTATCATTCAAAATTTATAATTGATAAAAATATAAAAAAAAAATTATAAACCTTAAATCAAGTAGTTTTTAAATATATATATTGTATAAATTTTAATTGTTTAAAATATTTAGAATAATCATGGTGAAAGTTTAAAAATTTTGACTTTAAAAAAAATCAATAATTGAATATCTAGTGAGATAGAGAGAGTATTTAAAATATACAAATCAAAATATTAAATATATATATATATATATATATATGAATAATTAAATAATAATTTTATTAAATTTTAATAGTTGTCATAGATTTTTAACATATTTAAATATAAAATTATTTATAAAATAAATATACACATGTCTAAAATTTACAAACATATTTTAAATGAATCAAACTAAATATTAAACTGACAAAAGTACATCATTAATATGATATTTAATGTTTTAAAGACTCACTAATTGGTCAAGGGTCAACACCAATAAATAGGTGAGAAAATTAAAAACTCATTAGGTGTTCCTTTCATAGCATTTATTAATAGTAGCCAACATATTTACCTGGACTGGCCTTCTTTTGAATTGAACCCTATTCAAATGAATCCTGACCGTTTGTTTCTCTTCAAATTTCCACGTGTAACGTCATGGGATAATACATTCCTTGATTATGATGTTCCTTCATCATACACAATGTTCTCTGGTCAGCATAAACGTGAACGATTCATAGCATAGCAGCCGCCCCTCTCCAGTTTCTCAGAAGGTTTGATTTTCAACAAGTTTATATTGAATCGATTTAGAAACGATGATTTGTTTAATAAATTATGTATTAAAAATGACCCTTTTATATATATAACAGTGCCATCAAGCTTAACCATCTCCAGTTTCAATTGCAGAGCTGCTGTGTCTGTACTCGGTAGTGGCCATGAACTCTCTTGTCCGAAACGCCACAGCAAATTTCAGCCGCAGAGTTGATGGCTACGAGCTACTGGATCAAAACCAGGGTACAAAAGAAGAAACTTTGGGCCAATACAGGACGTTTTCCAAGAGAAGAGCTCAGAGCGTGGTGGCTTCGTTAAGTTACAGGCGAGATCGAGCTAAAAAAAGACAGATTTTCTTGAGATCATACAAGTTATCAACCGTGGACGACGACCGGGGACGACCCAAGACCAAGCCGAGGAAGCTGAAGGAGGCGGTGCTTAAGGTTAAGACGGTTGTGGTATCGCTGGTGTCGTTTATGCGAATTGGTTCGTTGAAGTCTTGTAAAAATTGTCGATCGGCGATTTATGCGGCTGTTCCGATATCGATTAAGAAGTGTTGTTGAATTTTTAAAAAGGGCCTGTGCTGTGTAAGCTTTATTTTCCTGTAGTTAATATTTATCTGAACTTTAACTTGACACTATAACGTTTAAGTGAATAACAGCAGCTAAAATTAACTTGGGAGTTAGCATTTAATCCCAGCGATTGTTTCATTGCATCTAATTGCTTGATTCTTGTTTACATGTTGAGCAGCTTCAGTTTGCTTTTGCGCAATGTTGAACCAAAATGTATTAACTTTGGCTTGAATAATGCCTGTTTCTGTTAAATTGGTATTATCGGTTAGATTTTGTGTTGTCTGTGGTGTCTATACTCGAGTGTGCTTGCTCAAATTTCTCCATGTGCCCGAGCTGCTTGCACAATCTGCATCGAACTCTCGGTTTGAAACCAGGAAATGTTTTCGATGTGTTTCCACTTACACTTCTTGCTAAAGTGCTGGTAATGTCTTAACAAGCTTCTTATTTATTTAAATAAGATTTAACATTTCTAAATATGTATGTATTGAACAATTTCAATAATAAAAAAAGGTATTATTGAACAATTTCAATAATAAGGTATTATTTTTCTTTGACAGCTGCTGCTAACAACCACGATTACGCTCGCAGTCTTCTGGTTTCTCGAACCACTTAGTGCTGTTTTGTTTTTTATTTTGTACTTTGCACTTTATTCAGACAATAATGGATCAGAAATTGGCAGAGGTTGGGGCTAGGTATGCACACGGAATAAAGTCTCAGAATAGCAAGAACTCCAAAAAGTTTACAATAAAGTTATTAGCATTATCGTAGATTATTAAACTATAAAAAAGGAATCTAAAAAGATTTGTTTAAATGAAGATATGGAAAATATCAATAATTAGTACTATGATATAGTTGTAAAGTTTATCTCATTTTTTTTTGTCTAACTCACTTTACGAAAGATAACCTCTTTTTAAGAATTTACACAGAACCTCCAACGTCCTAACCCCGGCCCTAGAAATGGGTCAGGGATTAAGATTTCAACCTCAACCTTCTGTTGTTTAAAACAGAATGACAAAAGACTAGGGATGGCAATGGGCCGGGTTCGGGCTGGGTATTGGTCCCTCTGTCCCCGTTTAAAAAATATGTACCCGTCCCCACTTAAAAAACCGCGGGGATTTAAACAGGGATCCCCATCGGGTAATCGGGGAAAACCGCAGGGAAACGGGTATCCCCGTTTAGCATAAACAGTTATTTAAACGGGTATTGGGCTGTGTATATATAGTTAAATTAAATATATAAATATTATATATATTTTTTAATTTAATTTAAATTTATTAATATTATATATATATATATATATATATATAATAATTATTTTTATTATTTATCGGGACGGGGATTACTAAACCCGTCCCCATCCCTGTCCCCGTTTAGCATAAACGGTTTTTTCCCGTCCCCGTTTAATTCGATTTTCGGTTTTCCCCGTCATGTTCGAGTTTTTTTATTATCCCTACAAACGACTTCCTCCCTTCACCACATTAATAAATGGGTAACTTATGTTTTTCATCACTTAACTTTACCTATGTTCTTGTTTTTGTCACTCAATTTTAACAATATTCAATTTAGTTACTTAAATTTCAAATTATTCTTATTTTGACTATGTTCTTGTTTTGGTCACCCAATTTTAACAATATTCAATTTAGTTACTCAAATTTCAAATTATTCTTATTTTGATTACTTTATTAAATAATTAACAAGTTATGGTAGGACATTGTCCTTTTAATATGAAAAGGTGTCAAAGTTTTCTTCGGTTTTTGTTGAAATCTTTTTAAAATTTGTTTTTTAATGTGATGAGTGATCAATGAATATACTGAAGAATGATAATCCTTAAGACAAAATGACATTAAGATGAAACTCATAATTTTACAAGGAATAAAAAAAATAAAGAATATATTCTTAATGATCTATATTCATTCTCATTGAAATATGCTTTTATTTTTTTCTTTCCCTCCCATCAATAAAATGTGCTTTACTTCAAAGAACTTGATCTGATCCACTAGGAATATTTTTCCATTTCTTTCTTCCTTTGTTACTTTCAAGCTAAAAGTAAATTAAAGTTAATATAAAAAATCATATAAAAAAAGAAGAAGAAGTAATATTCTTCCATTATTCATATTTAAGCACAAAGGAATTTAATAATCAAATTGGGAACGAATCAGTGATGAAATTTGACTCGATGATTCTTAAAGCTAAAACCAAATTGTCTTCACCATCAGATTTATTTATTCTTCTATGGACCAAAAAGTCTAAAGATTATTTGCAAATAGAGTCCCTTAGGGACTAATCTTCAAAGTGTCTAAATCTAAGCATAAGAATTAAATTAATTTCAATATTAATTATAAAGAGATTCACTCAATATTATTATCCATTATTTATATTACAAATTACATAAACTTTCTCAAATTACATACTTAAAATCTTTACCTAATTTACTCATAATTGCCTTTTCTGTTTTTAGGGTTTTATTGATCTTTATAACCACAAGCTAAACCCTACTTTATATTGGCTTGTAAAGTGACATAGTAAGGGGAGTAGTGGAAGCAGTTACTTCCCCCCCCCCCCCGGAGAATTGAACTGTCTGCTCCCACTTTCATCACTTTTTCAAACCTACTCCTAAATATTAACACTCAACCACCAATCATTCGTTCATAATTGCCTTTTCTGTTTTTAGTTTTTATTTTTAGTAATAGTTTTGTTGAAGAATGTTTGACTTTCTTTTTGGCTGGCGAAAAGCTTCAAAGTGGTAATGGTCGTTTTGGGGGGGGGGGGAAGCTTATTGGATATGGTGTTTTATTAGTTTGTATTTATGGTTGTTTTTGCACTTGCAGTAAAAAGCTTATCAAGCGTGTTCAGTGTCGCTTGAAGCTGCTGAAGAACAAGAGGTTGACGATCGTGAAACAGCTGCGGGAGGATCTTGCTCAGCTCATCAAACTTGGCTATGAAAAAACTGTTTTTAATCGGGTAAGGGACGAAGTTTATTAACTCCTTTTATTATCCTCTGTTTTTTATTGTTAACTTTGTTTTTCAGGCTGAGCAGCTTGTTATAGATGAGAATGTAATGGCGGTCTATGATCTGTTGGATCACTTTTGTGAATTTATCTACGTTCAATTATCATATATTCGCAGACACAAGTATTTTCTTTTTCACTTTTGAAATTAGTTTTCCTTTTTTCCCAATCAATTCGTGTTTCTGACTATGAACAATTATGGTGTTTTAGGGACTGTCCTAATGATATCAATGAAGCAGTTTCGAGCCTTATATTCGCTTCTGCAAGATGTGCAGAACTTCCCGAGCTTCCGGTGATTCGGAAGCTCTTTGGGGAGCGTTACGGTCGTCGGTTCGCCACGGCGGCTGTTGAATTACTTCCTGGGAATCTGGTGAACCGTAAGGTTGTTCATTTGTTATCCTAACTTCTGATTGTCATTGATTAATACAAATTATTTGATGGAATTTCGACTGCAGATACAAGAGAAGCTGTCGGTAAAATCAGTTTCGGATGATGTGAAGAACAGATTGATTGATGAAATAGTTCGAGATTACTGCCTACAGCCTGAAATTTTGGCACTCGAATACTTCCCAGAATTGCAACGCCAGGTAACTAGCGAGACGGAAGTTAAGTACATGCAAGTTGATCCATTGCAATTTCGATCGACATTGGATTGTCCTGATGATCCACAATGCCGGGAAATCCTCCCGGTTTGTTCGAGCACTTCGGAACAAAAGGACGATGAAAGGATGAAAGTGACATCTTCCTCAGACAGTTTACTCCCGTTCTCCGAGGAACTTCTTGTCTACCTTGATGACATAGAGGAGTTACAATCTTCCATTAGGATAGAAGCAGATTGCCATGATCAGAGACTATTCAAGTTCAAGTCACTCACCCTGCCTACGAGAAGAGTGGTTATGGATGGAACGGACAGGGACGACGAAAGTTCGGATAACGAAAACCACGACGAGAAGCCGAACAAATCAACATGGATGTCATTCTCCCTTGAATATCCTAGTATGAAGGATGTCGATCACAAGATTTATTATGAGAATCACAAGCGTAAATCTCATCGTTACAGAAATAAGAAAACAGCAGCAGAACGTAAAGAATCAACTTATGCGCTGAAGAAGCCTAAACAGCCTTGCCATTGCCAATTGAACCCGAGGAGAAGATACAACAACGGTGCAGGTGTTCACAGTAAGAGTGCCTTATTGAGCGCCGGTCGTTCCGAGAGGAGAATCAATCCGTATTCGAGGGCAGTAACAATGCCGCAAGAAAGGCCGAGGGAGATACACCAGTACAGCATCGTCCGGTCGAATTCGGTTCCTGCTCAAAATCCGAATCACGTCCATCCTAAGCTGCCGGAATATGAAGACATAGCAGCAAAATTCATGGCTCTCAAGAAAGAGCGTCTGCAAAAAAAGTAGTGATTAAGGTGGTTTTTGTTTTTACAGAGTTAAAAAGTTTGCAGTATGCGGACTATATTTATAGGCATATGCAGCAGAAGAGGTGGATTAAAAGTCTGTAGTTTGCAAGAAGAAGACTGTTTGTTTTTTAACTTCTGCAGACTGCTAAAATAAACTGAAATATAAATAAACTGATTTTTTAAACTTAAAAGAGTTTTACAATACTGATATTTAAATAAGTTTGGTTTTACAATACTGAAATTTAAATAATTCATACAACTACAATAATAATTTTTTTAGAAAAACAAACACCACCTTATTAATTCTATTATAAGTCTCACATAATCACATGTATTTTTAGTTTTATAAGTTTTATAGAATAAAATTTATAAATGATCATTAAATTATATGATTTTTTAAATATGCAATTATGTAATACTTTTAATTTTTTTAAATATATATTCATAATTTTTTTTTATAATTATATGATATTTTTAGAAAATATTTTTTAATTTATAAAATTATTTTATGATTATTTTTTATTTAATTGTAATTATATTTTAAAATATTAAAAACATAATTTATAATTTTTTATATTTTAAAATCTTAATTATCAAACAATGAAATCATTTTTTATTAAGCAATGTGGTTTAAATACTTACATTTTGTATAAAAAGTTTAAATATAATCTAAAAATAACAAATCCAAAAAATATTATATTTAAACTTAAATCAAAATAATTAAAATAAATATAAAATTTTAATAATATATAAAATAATTTATATGATATAAAATTAAATATCTATAATAAAATATTAAAAAATTAATATTTAATTTATTTAAAAAATTAATATTAAAATTAATATCTATAATATAATATTAAAAAATTAATATTTAATTTATTTAAAAAATTAATATTAAAATTGTCGTAACCGGTTTTCGTCAGGGCACGAAATATTTATTTTGGCGGGAAAATCGATGTGAATAAATTTTTTTTTTTAAAATAATTTGGGAGTCGCCATCGGCCTTTTGGATCAGGTAGGTCGAATACCTAAAAATTATTTTTTTAAAAAGAGTTTTAAGAAAACATCAATTAAAAAAAATGAAGTGATCTGCGTTTTATAACCAAAAATTCGTTCTTTTTAATAATAAAAAGGGATTCGTGGTCGGTTACGTTTAGGGAAGGATTAGCACCCCTACAACGCCCAAAATTGGTACTTTTTAATTATAAATTATCTCTATTATTAAAATTTAAAAATTCAAAAATATATTTAATTTATAATCCTATTATTTCAAAATTATATATAAAAATATCAGAAAAGAACTTCTAGGTGCCTTAAGACAGCTCTTTTCTTTGATATTGATAAATATTAATTTAAATAATATTGTTTAATTTTTAATTTTAAAATATCAGAATAGGACATCCAGTTGTATTAAGACTGTCTTGTTCTTTGATATTGAAAACTAAATATTAAAATAATTTATTTAAAATAAATATTTATTTATTATATATTTATAACAACATTTAAATATATAAATAAGTAAAAAAATACAATTCTAATTATATATTTAAAAGCAATAAAAAATACTTAAAATAAATGACTAAAATATAGTAAAAATAAAATTAAAAATCTAATTCATAATTAATCAAAATTATAGGATTAAACAGGCTATTTCTTTATTTTATTTATTTAGTGACTAAAATAAAATTATCTAAAATTCGGATATTATAATAAAATAAATTAAAAATATGAACTAGGGATTAAAAAAATATTTATTAAAATTAAGGGACTAAATCTGTCATTTATCCTAAATATATTATTTTAATAAAAAGGACTAAAATGAATAAAATTAAAATTCAAAGACTGAATTAAAATTATTATAAATTCAGTTTAGTGACCAAAATATAAAATTTACAAGTTCAGAGGACTGCAGACGGGGTTTAATTATTTTATAATTACGCGCATAGTCCTTCCCGAAACGACGTCGTTCGGGAAGGACTATATATGGTCCCAAACCGGCTGGCCCGAAGGGCCAGTTTTCATTTCTCATTTCCTTCTCTCTCTCTAAACCGAGAGAGTTTAAAACTCTCTCGCCTCTCTCTAGCTTCCCTCACCGGAGGGAAGCCGGTCAACGGTCGGCCACCGTGTGCCGCCGTGATTATCACCGCCGGCTACCACATCCGGTGGCCGAAAAAATTATTTTTTATACTAATAGATAGATCGGACCGTCCTAAGGACGGTTCCGGTATTGTTTCCTCCTAAAAAACTCCCAATCGGAGCGAATCTACAAAAGTACCTTCGGTGTTTCGAAGGTTCCGGTGAGATCCGGTGACGGTTGGGGCTCTCCGATGACAGGGTAAGCTTTTTCCTATCTTCTCTCTTTTTTCCTTGCTGCGTTGATGCTGACTGAGATCGTTGGTTTAGTTTGTTGTTGTTTTTTTTTTCTTTCTCTGTTTTTTTTTTCTCTCCGGTTCTGTCTCGGTTTTTTTTGTCTCTCCTCTTTTTTTTTCTTCGCAGATGGGTGGTGGCTTTTATAGCCACCACCGTTGTAGCTGTCGGACCGGTCCGAAGAAGGGCTCTCGGTGAGTCACCGGACTACCAGTGGTGACTCACCGAGTAGCCATGGCGTGGACGGCTGGTATTCTATCTTCTGGAGTCTTCATTTGGGACGTGGCAGCGGCGGAGGCGGCGAGAAAGTGTCGGCAGCCGCGTGGAAACTGGGGCGGCGCCGCGTGGCCCTAGGGTATCAAACCCTAGGGTTTCCCTCTGGAGCCATCTGGACCGTTGGATCGTGCCAGATCCAACGGTTGTGATGAGGCAGCTGGTTTAGATTAGGGTTAGGAAACCCTAACTGGAAACCCAAATATTTAGGGTTTCTGGTTGGATTTGGACCGGTTCTGGTTGGTTTGTAACTGGGCCGGTCCAGTTGTAATTGGGCCTGTAATTATTATTTTTTATTATTTATTTTTTTTAATAATATTTATATATGTATTTAATATATTTAATAATAATAATAATAATGATAATAATAATAATAATGATAATAATAATAATAATAATAATAATAATAATAATGATATGGGTAAAAAATTAGTATCTTCAGCTGCCCCTCTTTGCTCATTCTTGTGTTAACAAGAATAGGGCAAAGATGAAAAGATAATAAAATTTTTTATCCATTTGGCTTCACTTGATCATAATGGAGATATTGAATAAATTCTTCTCTCTCTCCAGATAAGTTCTTCTTATTATGAACTTTCTGCTGGGGATGATGATGACCTCCTTTCTGTGATAGAGTCATTCAAAAGGTTGAATAAGCTCTTGATGAATTCTTCTCATTATGAACTTTTTTCTAGAAAGGCTGATGCTAATCTATCTCCTTCTGTGATAGCATCAAACAAAGGTTGAACAAACTCTTCTCATTATGAACTTCTTCTTCCTTCTTCAGATGAGTTCTTCTCATTATGAACTTTCTCTGGAAAGGCTGATCCATCAATTGATGAATTCAGGTAAAAGGTTGAACAAATTCTTCTCATTATGAACTTCTTCTTCCTTCTTCAGATGAGTTCTTCTCATTATGAACTTTCTCTGGAAAAAATAATCCATCCAGTGATGAATTCAGATTAAAGGTTGAACAAATTCTTCTTATTATGAACTTCTTCTTCCTTCTTCAGATGAGTTCTTCTCATTATGAACCTTCTCTGGCAAAAATAATCCATCAAGTGATGAATTCAAACAAAAGGTTGAACAAATTCTTCTCATTATGAACTTCTTCTTCCTTCTTCAGATGAGTTCTTCTCATTATGAACTTTCTCTGAAAAAAATATTCCATCCAGTGATGAATTCAGATTAAAGGTTGAACAAATTCTTCTTATTATGAACTTCTTCTTCCTTCTTCAGATGAGTTCTTCTCATTATGAACCTTCTCTGGCAAAAATAATCCATCAAGTGATGAATTCAAACAAAAAGTTGAACAAGTTCTTCTCATTATGAACTTCTTCTTCCTTCTTCAGATGAGTTCTTCTCATTATGAACTTTCTCTGGCAATGTTGATCCATCCAATGATGAATTCAAACAAAAAGTTGAACAAGTTCTTCTCATTATGAACTTCTTCTTCCTTCTTCAGATGAGTTCTTCTCATTATGAACTTTCTCTGGAAAAATAATCCATCAAGTGATAGATTTGAGCAAAAGGTTGAACAAATTCTTCTCATTATGAACTTCTTCTTCCTTCTTCAGATGAGTTCTTCTCATTATGAACTCTACCTGGCAATGTTGATCCATCAGATGATGAATTCAAGCAAAAGATTGAACAAGTTCTTCTCATTATGAACTTCTTCTTTCTTCTTCAGATGAGTTCTTCTCATTATGAACTTTCTCTGGAAAAAATAATCCATCAAGTGATAGATTTGAGCAAAAGGTTGAACAAATTCTTCTCATTATGAACTTCTTCTTCCTTCTTCAGATGAGTTCTTCTCATTATGAACTTTCTCTTCAAAAAATAATCCATCAATTGATAGATTTGAATCTTTGCTAAAATCTTTGAAATTCCTGTTAAAAATTCAACATAGATGAAAATGAATGAAAATGCACCTATTTTTGTAAACACCTAAAATATGATGCATGAATGTTAAGTTATTTGATTTCAGATTGGTGAACTGAGTATTTCTTCAGTTGTAAAAACCCAATAGATCTTCCTTCTTCGAATCAGAGAATCTATCATCTTTGACAAATATAGATGTAGATATAATGTCACAAAACCTCTTGAGAATAAAACTCAATAGTATAGGCTCTTGAAAAGCTTGCATTCAGGCAACATGTTGATTCTGATAACAATTCATCTGATTATGAAGTGACCTTTTAAGATGATTTCACAAATATCGATAGTTCTTCTTATACCGAGAAATCTTGAATTCTGATTCTGATGAAGAGAATAAATTGTTATACTTGACAAAAATGGGATTCTCAAATGCTAAAACTTTAAATAGCTTTCTTCCGGTAAAAGATGGGAAGCCATTATGTGATGATCCCAGTTACAAGCAAAGG